ATTTGCTATTAGCAAATCCACCAAAGCTGCATGTTGTGACATTGTGAGAAAACTTATCTTTATTGGATGCCATTAACGGTATGATGCAAAAGCATAGCACATACATTAAAGTTTTTTGTTTTCCTTTGTTTGGTGTTTTGGAAGAATACTGAAACTCATCCAGCTAATGATATTCTTATTATTTTATTATCATTGCATATTGCAGCAAAGTTTACTGATTGTATGTACACTATGAGCTGTGGACCTCGTATATATGACAATCCCGCTTCTGTTGTGTGTGAATGCGTGTAGCTAAGAAAATAGTTCTTGATTTTACCTGGGATTTTGTTGACTAATACTCGGGCACGTTCTGCACGTTTCAGGTTCTTGTGTGCACCTCTGCTGACTGAGTACCGGTTCTCGTCCTAAAAGACATGTTTGATTAGTAAAAGTGAAGCCTATGTGTGTAAAAGGTACGAGCCTACTACAAATGTAGATCCATATACTGACTCTACTATATTCTTCCAACCAACGCTCCTCATCACGTGCTAGCATCCACTTCTCCACCTTTTCCATGATAGTCATTCTGCTAGAAGCTTCTTCTTTTGCTCTTGATATCTGTTGATCCATGCTCGTTAGGAGATCTGCATGGTCGATCTCCCCTGTTGTACATCTAGGTCGGTTAACTGTCTACTTTATCCATAGACAAACAAATTAAGACAGTATTTTTTATGAAAAAAATGAAAATCACTGAATCGCACCCGAGTTGATGAGGTTAATTAGATTATCAATCTCTGATTGCAAAGGAATCTCCATGTGTGATTTATTGCGTATCTCCTTGAGCTCATTCTGTTTCTTGAAAAATAGTTCTTTCATCTTGCTTGCTTTTAATTGATCCAGTCTCTTGACTTCAGCCTCAGCCTTTAAAATGAATTTGAATGATGTTATTTTTCTTTTCCGAATTCCGATACATTGAATTGCCATCAAAATTTTGTACTTGCCTGTTGTATTATATTTAGGGTTAGGCTTCCTGGATCTGATACTTCTGCTGATGAAAGTGATAATAAGCCAGTAACATGGGAAAACGATTGGCGATCTTTGTAGGGTGTGTCCATGAGATCCCACAAGTTTGTCAATGCTTTGCCAAGATGGTGAAGCTGAAAATGTATATGCAGAAATAATCATACTGATGCTTTACGTAACCAGTGAGTTTGCATCTTTCCTAGAAGAGTAGATTTGTATGTTGAAAATGGAAAACAAAGAAACTAGGGGAAAAAAAAATTTAAAGAGATAAATCGAAATAATACCAAAACCATAGAATTTAGTTACCATAATTTAGGCTACTTAGTCATTCTTTCTGTAATTGTATCCCAGTGTATAACTAAAGAATCGTTAGTGAGAACTGATACAACTGCACAAGTAATTGTCACCTTTTCGAGTCGCTTTTGCTTTTCTTCCTCAAGGGATTCCACTGTGCTGCTAAGTTTAGCCAAAATACTGTTGCTTATATTTTTGGCTATCCCACATAATTCATTCAAGCTTGGATGAACCTTGGTGATAACCATTGAGGCGTCTGTTCCTAATATTGAAGACAAATTGTGGACTGCATCTATATATTTTTCGACCCTCATGAGCCTTTCATTCTGCAAGACAAACATAGAACTTAAAAGGAGATTTGTATTTTCATTAGAAGTACATATTCTTTTGTTGTCCACGAAACAGTTTCTGAACTACATTATGGTACCTTCTCGTTGTGGAGTCTTTGTAGCTCTGTTTGATACTCCTCTAGTTTCTTTAGTGAAAGATCATTCTCATTCACCGTGACATTCGATGATGAGTCTTCGTACTCTGACTGACCTGCTATTTCGGCAGAAATTTTCTGAATTTGCCCTTGTACTGCTCGGAACTTATTCATCCTATCTTCTTTCCTCAATCTCATCTCCCTCAATGCCGGCGTGAGTGAATCCAACTGTTCCTTCAGTGTTCCCACCATTTTTTCTGGCTGATGAGGTAATAAAAAAATCAGCCCAAGAAAGTAAGAGTTCTTGTATTTTCTCAGTATTCACATTTGTATTCCGATCCTATATTAACATGCATGCAATTATTAATAGCCATATTAATTTACTGAGTTAACAGGGATTGATAGATAATGTACCCGTCCAGGGAGAGACCGTTCGCCAAGGGACAGAAGAAGATGGGTAAATTCAGCCTCAGCTTCAGCCAACTCCTGGTGCAGTCGAGCTCTCGAGGTATTTGCAGTATCAACCTTCTTCCTATAAACCTCCAGACACTCCTGCTCTAAATCCAGCAGCACCTTCTCCCTTTCAAACTGATCTTGTCCAACTTCATTCCAAATCTTCTGTTTCATGTAAATTCAGAAAAGCAAAAGTTTCAGAACGAGAATCATTCAAATGGATTAGTTATCCGATAAATGTAGAACGAAATCTTGCCTGCAATTCCTGAAGCAAGTATCCGCACGAAGTTTCCAAAAGCGTGGAGCTTCGCATTCCAATCGGCGTCTGAAACGAACCCATCTGAATGTTTTTCTTCTCTGTGTTCTCCAGTGATCAGAACAAAGCCAAGTTAAGGGCGGTGTGGAAACCGAAAGAAAGTTGGAAGTTCCTTGATAAGGCAGAGTGTGATATGGTGGACCTCTTGGGTGTGAGTTTTGCTTAAAAGACAAGTGTGGAAAAAGGTAGGTAATTTCCAAGCTTTGAGTTCAAGGATCAGCACTTTCTTCAGCTTTTGTGGCTTTTGCTGTTTCTTTTCTTTTTTTTTCCCTCTTTGATTATTTGAATTTAAACTTGAGGAGAAATTGTTGCAGTTAGGGTTTCTTATTCAAAGATGTGCACGCCTGTTCTTGCACCGCACTGACCAAGCTTTGACTTAATTCCTAAGCAATATCAAATCCATGTGGATTGGGGAAGAAGAATATGGTTTTGCCCTTTCACTGTTTTAGCCTGTTTTCCAGCTTTATTTAGATTCTATACTTTGTATTAGGAACATTTGATCAACAGCAAATGTTTTGATTGATCTTTAGTTATATTTTTTTGTTAACGAGAAGGTAATTCGAACTTCATACATTTTCCTGACATTTGAGAGAAGGTACCACAAAACTCATTTAAAATGCTTATCCATATTCTTTGGAAATGGCAAGATCTTTGTCGCAAGAAGGAGTTGACCCGTATCATCTTGACTTGGTTTTAATTTCTCTATATATATTTTTGTATTATTTCTACGTAATAAGTGTCTTTATTCATTGGAAAGTGTCATTTGGCCCTTCTAAATACCATCTCAACAAACTTTAAGATCCAATTAAAAAAGCTCATAAAAAAATCACTTATACTCATAAACACTTTCAGTAAAACATATTTCCATTAGAAGTGCATTAAAAAGTTTATTAAAACTCAAAAGTGCCCGTACTTCACTAAGAAGGCACTCCAAAGTCTTAGAACAAGAAATTATTATTATTATTTTTTATTTTTTGCAAAATGTTATCACATGTGTTTTTTATTATTTGAAAGCGCTTTGCCATTCCCAAATAGGTCTAGTTGGTAGTGATTGATTCATTATTAATCATACACTAATCTTCGATCAATTGTGGGATTTTGATTTGGTAACTCATCGTCAATACGACTAGAGACAAATGAGTAGGTAACATTTGTCTCTCTAATTTGGATGAGAAAATATAATTTCACTAACCTGCATTAGGTGTGAGATTTAATTCTTAATAGGATGATCAGCACCGGACCTACAGCTAATTAGCAAAACCAGTCTAACAATCTTTTGGCTTGTAAAGAGGATAAGATACCTGAAGTGGCTCTTTCCGAAGGAGACAAAGTTGAAATTGAAACTGAGTTTTGCACTAAAGCTAATTCAAGATCTGGTCAAAGAAAAAAAAGGAGAAAAGTAGATCCGTAAGACATATTCTGAAAAACACAACAACAAGACATTAGGATTACAGATTGAATAAATCAAATGAAAAAAAAAAAAAAACTTATCTCTTGAATTCCAAACCCTAACCTTAAACCCTAAATCAGAGTCAAGACTATATTATTCTAGTTATATTGGGCTGTAATATCACTCAAATATCAAGTCACTTGGATAATAAGTTATTCGAGAATCAAGTGATTTAATTGACAAGTCATTGATAGTCACACTAATCTTTACAAAAGCAACCCAATCTCTCTTCATATTACGCAAAGTGGACTTGTCAGCTTTCAGCCTAGAGAGCATGGGAAATTAAATTTGAGGAGTATTTTGTTCTACTCCACTTGAAATTTAGTTTTCTTTTATGGTGGATAAGTAGAGGGAAAAACCCTACAAAATAGTACTTCATCTCTATTTTGGAAAAGAAGTTACATGAAACAAGTTCACAGTTATTGTGACGTTTTGGACCATTTTTATAAGGTTATGTTGAAAGAGTCTTACATATGACCTTGTATTAGTGATTCGAGACTCGTTGATGATGATAAACATGTTCCTTATAACTCTCTTCGTCCTATTTTAGATAGATATTACCGTATTATTGGAATTATATCATCATTTGAGTGTCTCACTGATCACGTAAGTGGATATGTTCCCAATCACACCCAAAATGTCCCCGCTAGTATACGTTTAGCAAAAGAAAATTGAGATATAGGTATCCAGAGAAAATGATCATTAGAAAACAGGGCAAAAGCAAAAAGCCCAAATGGGAAACAACCATAAAGGTAAACATTGCACTCAACATCTTATCATTTTTCAAAGAATCAAAGCAGCCAAATTATGCATGTCAGTTGCAACGGGACAACTTATATATCTCACAACTTTACAGCAAATTTATATCGGATTTCCGAAAGCCTAACGCAAGGCTTACGCCTCAATGCCTCAAGATTTGTGAGACATTGAACGCCTTGCTTTACGCCTTCACCTTTATAAACACTGGTTGTGAGTCCTGTGATTCCTTGTTACAACTTTCAACGTTTACAAGTAATCTGCTGTATTGTCCTTTTGAATACATCTAAGCTTTCACATCTGAATAATATAACGAAACAAGCAGTTAATTTGCCTTCCTGGACCCTTCAAGACAAAATAATTTCAGTCAACATACAATTTTGTATACGAGCAAGTATGCAGTGAAACTGTCGCCACTGTCCCTATTGATATTGCTTACTCCGAGTGAGGGAGGTAGAAATTGTACAATTTTTCGGTTAGTCATGGATTTTAAAAGGAACGAAAGAGTATGCGCTTGCAGAGATTCTAGGTTGGTTCCCATCAACAAAGAAGGCTGTAAGAAGGCATGTCTTCAATCCGCAAAACATCATCCATTAGCAGCTCCCTCTCCAGTTGAGCTCGCGTCGATTTCAAAACATCCTGCAACACATTCAAATTGAATCAAAACCCTATGAAGTTTGAACTCCAACATATGTAGCCCTGTGTGATACGTATATGCATAATCTTGGGGAGTATGAATGGTATGCAGATCAAGGATATTCTCACATTGAACTCCATGTATGTAGCATTTCTCTCGAGCCACTGTTTGTCCATAACCATGAACGCAACGCAGTACAGCAAGTCGAAGGTCCATTCATTTTCTGCAGTAACATTAGACAATGACAAGGTCTCTCTGTTAGGCAACTGTCAACCTTTTTTGGTGCTGTTGTGCAGTAAGATTTAAACTCGGATGTTATCTTACCTAACAACATTTGTAAGAAAACTGTTCTTATGAAAGTCCTGGGTTTTCCTGCCACATAAACAAGCATGAGTTATCTGTCCAAAGCTTGCGCTAGAGAAATCGAAAACCTGTCATTTGAAAAACTGACAACATTTTATATCCCAAGTTCGAAACTTGGAACAAAAGGAGTTCCTTTGACACTTACTGGCTTCAAGGTCAAGCATTTGCATGATCATAAACGTGATGTTGACACCAGCAACAGCGAAAGGATATTCCCAAGCAGCTCGCTTTCCTCTCTGCTTTTTCAATAGACACTGGAAAGATGCCTGCAACAACATAAATAAACATATTTAGACAGCATAAGTTAACATGGTTGGAACATTAAGTATATACCAGTCGAGCGCATAGCCCTTCAATATACAATCATAACACATGCATATCAAGCTCCGTAGTTTTTTGTTATGTTGGGAGTATGCGAAACCTATTTCTTGATGTTTCAAACTTTCTAGTTACATATCGAGGTTGGAATCTTACCGAAAATGTCTTTGCAAAGAACAGCAGGTTCTCCAAAGAAATGAATCCAGCTCCTCTGTCAGGTAATCCAAGCTAAGCAAGTAAGAGAATGACAACACAAATTGACAGAAGAAATTAACCCGAAAGTTGCAGAACAATAGACAAATAAATGTAAACAAGACCTGAAATCGGTAGACGGATCTCTTCCTTGCCATCCCATCTCCTTCCATTGATCAGATATCAAACCATTAAGCTCTTGTCCAGGAAATGTAGCGTACCATAAAGCTCTCAGCGCTTCCTGTCCTCATCAAATTTTCGTAACAACTAAGTTTAAGAAAAAAAGACAAACAATTACCAAAGAAAACATTTGACTGTATAATTGAACCTTAACTCATGCCATTTTTAAAGTTGACATTCGTGTCCCATCTGTATCATGTGTCCATGGACATTAAGTTGTAATGCTTAAACTCAAATTTCTGCCTACGTATAAAAAGGTCGGGAACATATATATACATCTCGAAATGAAAATTTCACCTGGTGATCCGGCCTAGTAGCATCAAAGTAAACCTTCATTCTTTGCTTCAACCGCCCCATTCTTTCTTCCTGCAAGTTTTCGAACAAATCTGTAAAATAGAGTGAAGGAGTAAAATGATAGATCATCATGGCAAGAACTAAAGAAACAGAAAAACAAACTCGACTTCATACTCTACTCAGTTACCAAAAACATGATTCTAATTGGCAATCCGGCATTCTCTCTGTCTTTGTCATCAGCTCTTAACGAATGATTGGTGGTTTAATTAACTTAAATACTTACCTGAAGGGGTGTCAAGTTCATACAAATCCGCTGATAATTTCCCTTTCGCTTGAAGCAAACGCAAGTGAGACCCTTACCGATCCATTTAGGCGAACCACAAGCATCATCATCTGCATACAACCAAAAAAACCAAGAGAATTGCCCGATGAAAACAGTGTACTAATGGAACATGATCGATTACACAACGTCGTTAATTTCTGCCAGAAACACAAAGAAAGTACAGCAGACAAAATCTTAGCAACCTGGAGGCAGTAGCACACGATCCACAAGAAAGCATTTCATAACGACAAATGTTGCAGTGGATTTCCACAGATTTTTGCTTCTTCCGAATTAATTTCCAAACAATCAAGATCATCGTAATATAGCCAAACACCATTATTGTGTCATGATTGAAACAAACAGAAAAGAACGCGGAGATTTTTTGAAATGCTTATCATCCAAACACCCCCATCTACCAAGTTTGAGTCAATCTGACACTCCAAATTATAATAATAGTTGTCTCTGGATGCATTTCTTTTATGTATGTGCAGTGTCATGTAGTGAAGTAGACAGTTTATGTAGTGAATTGACGAGACATATTCGATAAGACTGTCGGAATAAACAAACTTTAATACAAGAGTGCTGTTAAAGTGTGACTCATTATGAATTCTTTGTTATCTCACAGTTTAACGTAAACTCACGTGTCATATTATAAAATATTGTGCAAAAAATATAAGATGCACTTTTAAGCGCATCTCCTTAGCATTTCTCTTAATGCAGAATCTGAATACTCACAACCTATAAGATTGATGAAACTACTAATATCTTATATTTTTGCGAAAGATGCCTCGAGCGCTTGTACTAAGTTTGTATTCTATATTCGGAGTATGTGCTGTTGTGTTAAGCCCGGCAAACCTACTATCACGCGCCGCTCTGCGACATTAAACAGCATCCTACCACGTGGGAGACATATGCTGGCCATGTGAGAGTACTTGATCCAATATGGTCGGAATGCGTATCGTATATGGACCTTGGATTCTTTTTCTACATATGTCGTAAGACTATTCTATATTGGCATGTATAGTACGCATATACATTACTTGCCAGAAAATACTAGATAAGAATCAGATACATGTCAATCACGACTCATAATTAGGCACGTAAGTAATTCTTAATTAGATATTTCCGTACATATATTAAACTGTGATTTGCTACTTATCTTTTTGGTGCACAAAACAAGAAAACACATTGCTAAATTAATGAACAATTTTTCTGGGAAATGAATCAAATTTAGCAGCATATATATTGAAGAAGTTTAAGTAAGGGTGCTAGAAAAAAGATAGATAACAACCTGGAGAAATGGAAGCAGAAGTGTGTGTGGGAGGAGCGCAGCGGGAGATGGTAGAGGATGAGGAGGAATTATGGGGAGGAGAGAGAGTTTGAGGGCTACTGGTACTCCTAAGCACTCTCATCATCTCGATCTTCGGAGATTCCAATCCGAAGCCAGTTTTAATTAGGTAATCTTTATATATAGAGAGAGTAGGAGAAGGACGGTCAAAGACTCAAAAGTCCAAGTTGAGTGAAACCACATGGCAGGCTGTCCAATTAGGTTAAAAGGACTGACAAAAATTACACTACAAAAAGCGGTGGAATCTGAGAACCCCTCGATGACAAATGTTATATACAGTCGGATGGTTGTTGCCCACTTGCCAACAAGAAGAATCTAGATCATCGATAATTTTTTTATTATGATCGGGACACGGTTAATACAATACATATTTTTATATAGGTGATGAAATTTTTTATTTTTTAAGTTATTAACTTTTTAACACATATATCCACCATTTATAGAGTGACATGTGGTGTACCATCTCTTGTTTCGATCACACCGAAAAATCTCTCTAGATTGTCACCCATGCTAGCTTCAACACTTGGATATAAAAGAGTAAATTGTAACAATAGTCCCTTAACTTTAATTCAATTGGAGCAATGGTCCTCAACTAAAAATCCATTACCATTGGTCTCTTAACTCATCAAAATGTGCAGCTATGGTCTCTTAACTAAAAATCTATTACCATTGGTCCCTCAACTTTAACCCAACTGGAGAAACGGTCATTCAACTTTAACACAATTCTAGCAATGGTCATTCCAACATAATCCAACGAAGTTGACGAAAATGACCATAGCTACACGTTTTGATGAGTTGAGGGACCCCAATTGTAGTAATGGTCCTTTCAACATAACTTATTTTGACAAAATTTTAATGAAGTTGACGAAAATGACCATAGCTACACATTTTGATGAGTTAAGGGACCAATGATAACATATTTTTAGTTAAAGGACCATTGCTTAATTTGATTAAAGTTGAGGGACCATTTCTACAATTTACTGGATATAAAAACTACAACTATTTATAAGACTAGTTTGGTAATTTTGTGTTTAAAAAAAAAAAAACTGATTTTGCTGTGTTGTGAAAATATGTGAGTGTTTGGTAATTTAATTTTATTATTATTTTTTTTTGTAAAAGTGCTTTTTACAAAAAAAAATATATATATCTCAGTGTTTGGTAAACTTATATATAAATCGATGTGAATATGTTAAATGATTAAAAAGAATAAGGTATTGAACGTAATACAATAATTCCAAAGAGAATAATGAAGGGATAAAAATTGTAATTTTGCAAAATATGCAGAGGTATACTTATCATTATAAATTTTCATTAAATATGAAAAAAAAAACGTTTTGTTAGAAGTATATATGGTACACCTTGCTTCTGCTATTCTATTGACATTGATAGCAGTTTTAAGAAAAAACTTTATTTATTTATTTTTTTACCAAACACATTTGGTGTTACAATTTTTTTAATAAATTGTTTTTTTAAGAAGCATCACAACCTCAAACCATCCCATAATCAATAATAATTTTGGCACGACACGATTATCCGACTCAAAAGTGATAAAAATTAAATGAGTTCAAGTTGTTCATAATTGTAGTCTAGTAATAATCGTGTCGGTTGATTCAACACAATTAATAAACAGTTTGTATTTCGAGTCAACCCACATTTTAATATATTTAAAAAAAATTGTTGATCCTTGTAAATAAGCTTGTAACTAAACAACTAATTGACTATATGAAAAATAAATTAAAGGAGTGATAAATTTATTAGAAAATTTCACTTTAATCCTTGACAAAGATGACTTTTAAATTAAAACCATGAGTAAGATTAAAATCTAATTTTAGTCACTTGATACATTAATAACTTCATTTATTATGTGACATCCCACATCGCCTAGGGGAGTGATCCTTATATGTATATTCCCATCGCTACCTAGTACGAGGCATTTTAGGAGCTCACTGGCTTTGGGTTCCGTAGGAACTCCGAAGTTAAACAAGAAAGGGGCTAGAGCAATCCTATGATGGGTGACTCACTGGGAAGTTGCTCGTGAGTTCCCAAAAATAAAACCGTGAGGGAATGGTAAACCCAAAGCGGACAATATCGTGCTATGGTGATGGAGCGGGTTCAGGAAGTGATCCGTCCTGGGCTGAGGCCTTTTAGGAGCTCACTGGCTTCGGGTTCCATGTGAACTCCGAAGTTAAGTGAGTAGCACACGAGAGCACTCCCAGGATGGGTGACCCATTGGGAAGTTCTCGTGTGAGTTCTCAGAAACAAAATCGTGAGAGCGTGGTCGGGGCCCAAATCGGACAATATCGTGCGACGGTGGTGGAGTGGGCCTGGGAAGTGGTCCCCCCTGGCCGGGATGTGACAATTTGGTATCAGAGCCTAATCCTGGTCGCGTGTGTGCCGACGAGGACGTCGGGCCCCTAAGGGGGGTGAATTGTGACATCCCACATCACCTAGGGGAGTGATCTTTATATGTATATTCCCATCCCTACCTAGTATGAGGCCTTTTGGGAGCTCATTAGCTTCGGGTTCCATGGGAACTCTGAAGTTAAGCGAGTAGCGCACAAGAGCACTCCTAGGATGGGTGACCCATTAGGAAGTTCTCGTGTGAGTTCCCAGAAACAAAACCGTGAGGGCGTGGTCGGGCCCCAAAGCGGACAATATCGTGTGATGGTGGTGGAGCGGGTCCGGAAAGTGGTCCCCCGGGCCGAGATGTGACATATTAATTATATTTTGATTTTTTAATTATTTCTCTTTCTTCCTAATTTTTAATGTATTAATTTTATTTCATTATAATTTTCATTTTTATTTCATTTATCATAATATATCATACAATATATTTCGATTTACTTTGTCTTTTTCATTTAGGTACATTAAATTTATTAGAATGGGTAAATTACATAATACTCACTCAAATTTGAGGTCTATTACAGCCCCATACAACATCTTTAAAATATTTCACTTTCATACCTCATGTACTATTTTATTTCAAAATAATACATCTGTTCATTTTACATCCATTGATTCGTTAAGTGCTGACGTGGCTGCCACATTTGTGCAATCTGGCTCCCAAATGTGTGCCACGTGGCAAATTTATTTATTTATTTTTTTAATTTTTTTTTTAAAAAAACCTGAATCTTCTAAATTAAAAAAAAAACAAAAAAAAAAAAAAAACAAAAGCTGAAACACACCTCCCCGCAACCCCCTAAACCCAGAAACCTTATCCCTCCACGACCCACGCAGACGCACCTCCTTCCCCCTTCCTCATCCTCTCTTCTCCCCCATCTTCGTCCCCCTGCAACCCAGGAAAAAAAAAAGCCCTTCAGTTCGGCTTCACCCTCTTCCTCCTCATCTGTTCTTCCCCATCTTTATCTTCTTTTCCCTGCAACCCAAGAAAAAAAAAAAAAAACCTTCAGTTTCTCTTCCACCCCAATCTTCTCCCCCATCTTCATCTTTTTCCCTCAACCCCTACCTTCAACCTAGAAAAAAAAAAAAACCCCAGATCCCGTCTACGCTGCGATCACCAGGTTTGTGGGGGTGAAAATGGGAGGAATGGGTGTGGATTTAATGACTGGGGTGTGTAGAGGAGGGAAAATGGTGGGTGCGGAAGGAGGGTAGGTGTCACATTTCAACCCGGGGCCTACCACATCCTGGGCCCGCTCTACCACCGTAGCACGATATTGTCTGCTTTGGATCCAGACTACGCCCTTACGGTTTTGTTTCTGGGAACTCACACGAGAACTTTCTAATGGGTCACTTATCATGGGATTACTCTCGCGTGAACTCGCTTAACTTCGGAGTTCCGATGGAACTCGAAGCCAGTGAACTCCCAAAATGCCTCATGCTATATGGAGATGAGAATATACACATAAGGCTTACATGATCCATTCCCTCAGGCGACGTGGGATGTTACAATCCACCCCTTTAGGGGCCCGACGTCCTCGTCGGCACACATCCAGCCAGGGATTGGCTCTGATACCAAATTGTCACATCTTGGCCCGGGCCCCCACCATATCTTAGGCTCGACTCCACCGTAGCACGATATTGTTCGCTTTAGGCCCCAACCACGCTCTCACGGTTTTGTTTCTGGGAACTCACACGAGAACTTCCCAATAGGTCACCTATCATGGGATTGCTCTCGCGTGAACTCGCTTAACTTTAAAGTTTCGATGGAACCCGAAGCCAGTGAGCTCCCAAAAGGCGTTACCCATTATGGGAGTGCTCTCTCGCGCAACTTGCTTAACTTCAAAGTTTCGATGGAACCCGAAGCCAGTGAGCTTCCAAAAGGCCTCGTGCTAGGTAGAGATGAGAATATACATATAAGGCTTATAGGATCCACTCCCCTGGACGATGTGGGATGTTACAGTGGGTGCGGGGGGAAAGTGGGTGGGGGTGAAGAGGAGAAAGGGCTCGGGGAAGGTGGGGGTCGGGTGGGGTTTTGGATAAAAGAGGAGGTGAAGTGTTATATCCCACATCGCCCAGGGAAGTGGATCTTGTAAGCCTTATATATATATATATTCTCATCTCTACCTAATACGAGGCCTTTTGGGAGCTTACTGGCTTCGGAGTTCATCGGAACTCCGAAGTTAAGCGAGTAGCGCGCGAAAGCATTCCCATGATGAGTGACCCACTGGGAAATTGTCGTGTGAGTTCCCAAAAACAAAATCGTGAGGGTGTGGTAGGGGCCTAAAATGGATAATATCGTGCTACGGTAGAGTCGAGCCTGGGATGTGGTGGGGGCCAGGGCCGGGATGTGATAATTTGGTATCAGAGCCAATCCCTGGCTAGAAGTGTGCAGACGAGGACGTCGGGCCCCTAAGGGGGTGGATTGTTACATCCCACATCGCCTAGGGGAGTGGATCTTGTAAGCCTTATATGTATATTCCCATCTCTACCTAGCACGAGGCTTTTTGGGAACTCACTGCTTCGGAGTTCATAGGAATTTCGAAGTTAAGCGAGTAGCGCACGAGAGCATTCTTAGGATGGGTGACTCACTGGGAAGTTCTCGTGTAAGTTTCTAGAAACAAAACTGTGAGGGTGTGGTAGGGGCTCAAAACGGATAATATCGTGCTACGGTGGAGTCGAGTCCGGGATGTGGTGGGGGCCCGGGCAGGGATGTGACAATTTGACCCATCCTAGGAAGTTCTCGTGTGAGTTCTCAGAAACAAAACCGTGAGGGTGTGGTAGGGGCCTAAAACGGATAATATCGTGCTACGGTGAAGTTGAGCCCGGAATGTGGTGAGGGCCCAGGCCGAGATGTGACATAAAGATAGTGGAGGAGAGGGATGTGGTTGTGAGGCTTGGGAGGGAGAAAAGGGGTGAGGAGAGGTTGCGGGGGTAGGTTCTGCGTTTTCTAAGTTATTTTATTTTATTTTATTTAAAGAAGATTCAGGTTTAAAAAATAAAAAATAAAAAATTATTTTTTTGCGCACAAATGTGGCAGCCACGTCAGCGCTTAACGGATCAATGGATGAAAAATGTAACAGAGGTATTATTTTGAAATAAAATAGTACGTGAGGTATGAAAGTGAAATGTTTTAAAGATATTGTATGAGGTTGTAATAGACTTCAAATCTAAGAGAGTATTGTGTAATTTACCATATTATAATATATTTCGATGCATACATTTAGGTACACACATTTAAGTGCATACATTTTGATACAAACATTTAGGTACATTAATTCAATATAATACAATTCGGTACTAACATTTCGGTGCCTTCATTTCGATACACACATTTAGGTACATTAATTTAATATAATACATTTCAGTGCATATATTTCGGTACTAACATTTAAATACATTAGTTCAATATAATACATTTCTGTATTAACATTTAGGTACATTAATTGAGTATTTCAAGTTTGAAGAATGTTAAATAAAATTAATAAATTAAAAAACTCTTTTTTGGTCAAAAACAAAATAAAATTTGTATGTTAATACATGTAAATATTTAATGGGACACATTAAATAAAATACACATTAATTATTTTGAATCAAGGACACATCAAGGAATTATAATCAATATATAATCTTACACCAAGTTTATTTTAAATTTCAAGCTTCTTAAAGAATTAAAATTAAAAAACTCCTAAATTTATTATAACCTCGTGTTAAGGTCACAGGCCATCAGCAAATCACAAGCATTTCCCAAGTTTAATTAACACAGACTTTCTTGTTTAAAAAAAAAAATAAACAAAAACAAAAACTTTCTCAAAAATCAAAATAAAATAAAATCCATCTTAATTTATCTTTAAATATTGGAATAGAAAATCTCCCAACATTAAACGGTTTAAATCACAGATAAAACTGTCTTATTTATTCTTAGACAACTTCAACATGGGAGTTGTTTCATGCGGGCAAGCTAAGAGAGACGCCTGCAGAGGGTGAGTCCATCTCCGATTGAAACAACGGCTAGCTCGACACGGTCATCCGCGGCGAGAAAGCTGTTGAGTTCCAGCAAATGTTTTCTGCTTTGCTTTGCAAATTTTTCCACATTCTCCTCAGGCTCCGCCACTGTCCCAAACCACAATGTGTTATCATAAGCTATGATTCCTCCAACCTTCACAAGCTTCATCAGCAACTTGTGATATTCCATGTAGGAGTCCTTGTCGGCATCCACAAATGCGAAATCAAAGCTCCCTTCTTCCTTTCCCTGCTCAATTAATTCCATGTTTAATTCTCCAAATCAAATAGTATATCAATTAATAGTACTTCTTCTCAAAAAAAAAAAAAAAAATTACAATTATTAAAGGGAGGAGGAGAGTTCTAAACTGTTACATTAATTTAGAGGAGAGGAAGTTTTGAATTTGGAATGTGTGGGTAGAAACTCAACATTCTGTCTACTAGGATATTGGATACTTATTACTTAAGCTAAATATCTAGATGATATATAATTCTTCTTACCTTCCCAATTCGCCATTAAGTACTCGAATCAACATTTATTAAATTGTCGCAAAAGAAGTGCGACATGACAATTTGAGAGTGTGAATAACATTCGCAATCACCATATAACTTTCCCTTTGTTTTTAAGACAACTGCAATTCATATTCCCTAATTTTGCATTTTTCACTCTAAATTTAGAGAAAAACTTAGATATCAGCTTAATGGCGATGTACTCTAACAAGGGAAACAGCTCCATTGTATATGGATTCCTTACAACCCCACACAAGTACAACTTCCAATGGGCCACCGTGTATTATTATGGCCTAACCTACTTTAAGTCTGATATTTAACATGATTGATTACGTTAAATCACAAACATTAACTTACTTTGGTAATGAGATCATTTAGGACCGTGAAGGCATCTGACTGGCAGAAGTTAATCTTATTTTCCACCCCAGCCTTCTGAATAAATGGCAATCCAACCTCATAGGCTTCTTTGTCTACATCGGTTGCCGTTATCTGAAAATTGAAATATTAGTACAGCTCGCTAGCAAATAGATATAAAATATGAGAAGTCTATAATTATTTCAAGGAAAATTAAAAATTAAAATCAGAAATAAATATACGAGTATTACATACTTTGCCATCAGCAGGTAGTGCAAGAGCAGTAGTGAGAAGAGAATAACCAGTGAAGACACCGAGCTCCAACGTCTTCTTCGCATTCATCACCTTCAGAAGCATCGAGAGAAGCAGGCTTTCGTCGACGGGCACATTCATAAGACTCCTGTTCGTGTTCAAAATCGACGAAATGTAATCCTTCAGGGTCAAGTAACTGCTATCTCAAAGAAATGTATTAGACAATCAAAATAGTACTCCGATAGGGGATTTAAGCCACGTACGATCGAAGGAAAAAAAGTACTAAAATATCGAAACCCTACCAGAAGGGATATTTCTCGACAGTGGCCTCCCTTAGTTGCTTCAGTTGCTCATGTTCTCTTGGAAAGCAGCTTGTTTCGAAGATGTACTGTATTACGAGAAATTAAGGCTGTTAATTAACGCAAAATATAATTAGCACGCTGTGTTTCTTTAGTTTGCAACTACTTCAACAACAAAATGTGGACATGTAAACCTGACTTTCAACATGTTTTGAACTTGTGATACAAGTACAACCATATATCTACCCTAAAAGAATAAATTAATTGCGAACTTGTCATTTTTGAATTAATTTTTTTTTCTAAAATAAAATAAAGTGAAAAAGGAAATATTTTATGCAGAACATAGACACTTGTGCATCATGCAGCTTCAAAGTTGTAAGTGAACATGTATACTACAGAGACAGTTGTACATCATGCATGATGCATGACACTTGTGCATCATTATATACGACCATCTCATACTTTCGAAATAAAGAAGAATCTGATTTCCTCGTTGAAAAAATTAATAATAATAAAGTACCTGATCTGAAAAGAAATAACATTTAAAATGTCGATTTTTTTTTTTAAAAAAAAGGGCAATACGAAATTTTTTTTATTAAAAAAACATAGAATGAAAATGGTGAAAACTCCAATCCAAAGCTGAAAAACGAGAAAGAACTAGGAAGAGAGAATGATTTATATGAAACAGAAGGTAAAGATGGTAGTGTTGCAAACTAATCATGAAACACTATGTAAAACAAGTTAAAATGCGGGATAAATCTGAAACAATTTTGTTAACATTTTCTTTTCATGTGAGTCACTCTCATAAAAAGCGCATCTGATTTGATCAGGTGAAGCATGGGGTTACATTAAGAAAAGGAAAACGAGAGTGTACCTTGAGAAGTGCTGGGTTTTTGAGTATTCTCCTCTCTGGTTTGGCTTCTGACTCTGACATGGCTGAGTGAACAACAAAGGAGCAGGTGGGTGCGTTGTGCATTTTATATTGGGATTTTGGGAGAGGAAAGGCGTAGGTGGCAGCTTGGCCAAAAAAGAGAAGAGCGTGCCGGAGGGTGGATTGGGCCTCAATTCTTTATTTAGAGAAATTTTTCAATATGATCGTCACACGAGATGATACATTATGTATTTTTATATAAATGATAGGTTATGTGTGTTAAAAGATTAATAACTTAAAAATTAAAATTTTTCATTATTTACATAAAAATACGTGGTATATCATCTGTATTCCCCTTATAATTAAAATTCTGTCCTTTTATTTGAAGTTGTTGCTGGTTGGACTGTTTCACATTTAAGGCTCACAGTCTTTGCATGTGCGTGTAGTTTTTTGTCTTATTTATTTATTTTTGAAAAATATACGGCTGGTAGAGAATGACGGTTGAAAGTCGTGTATAAATATACCGTTGCATATAGGTTAATTTATGCTAGCCTAACCTCACACTCTTCGTGTGTGAAGCAATTTTTTACTAGTTTATTAGAATTGGAGAGGAGAGAAACTGTGAAAATGGGGAGAGGTTTATGTTTATACTTTTTATATTTTAGAATTCGAGACACGGTATGATGACATGTGGGTAAGAGAGTGAAAAAAAATAAAATTGATTTATACAAAAGTACATTGTCTTTTTATCATCTTTTAGTTTACAAAGAAAATTTTACTAATATGTAAGATAGGGATTAATCCATCCATCTTCTCTTCGAGACTATTCTCCAAGTTTACTTTACTCTGTTAATAGGGACCATTGCAACTTGAATATATTATTGAGGAAGTTAGATAATTTAATGGAACTACTTAATCTGAGTATTCATCTGGTTACGCCGTTAGCATATAAATGCAGATTATTTGCATGCATATTTTTAGTTGGGATGTATAATTTGCTTGTGGAACACCCCCCCTCTCCCCAAAAAAAAAAAAAAAACCAACCAGGTGCATTTTCACCACCATTCATCATCATCTTTGTCCGAAAATTAAAATACAAAATATTCCAAAAAGGAAATAAAATAATAATTCCAGACTCCTCTCTATGCACGTAGAAGACTTGTATAGTACAATGCATTGTTATGATAGCATTTTGTGCTAATAATACAAAAATATATTTTTAATTTTTTAACGTATTCTTGTATTATTAGCAAGAAATTGTTAATTCTAATTTGCTCTATATCTGTATTGAGTAGTGCAGGAGCATTTTCATGAAGAACCCACCACGTGCGGCGTTAGTAGAGTCGTACGTGACACCGGCGGATTTGTTCTACTAGCGAAACCATGGTCCTATTCCTGTCCTCGGTGGCATTGAAAGGTTAACAAACACTTGCCCTTTTAAAAAAAATTTACTGATAGTTTTAAAAGACAAAGGGTCATTGTGTACAGAAATGGAGATTGCAAGCGGAGTAAATTGCCGTTTAACTCTTGAACTATTACCTAATTGAAATTAACTTTATTAACCATTTTTTTTGATAAGTTAACTCATTCAATCATTTGAAATTAGACAATTAACACCTAAGTCTTCATTTAAGAACGCAGTCTTTACATCCATTTGATGTATTTCCATGTTATGGAATGCATCTATAGCAATCAACAATCTTATTGAAGTAATTCTTGTTACAAGCGAGTATGTATCAAAGAAATCCAAACCATGTTTTTGACGGTATCCCTTAGTTACCAAACGAGCCTTATATTTGTCAATTGTACCATTTGGTTTTAATTTCTTCTTAAAGATCCAATTGTACCCAATTGGCTTATTGCCAAAAGGCAATTCAACTAATTCCCATGTATAATTTTGCATAATGGAATCTACTTCATTGTTAACTGCATCCTTCCAAAATGGAGCTTCAGAAGTGGACATGACCTCCTTAAATAATTGAGGTTCTGTCTCAGTTAATAAAGTCACAAAATCAGGCCCAAAGTCCTTTCGAATTTTTGTCCTTTTACTCATTCTAGGTTTAAGTTCTTCTTCTTCTCGAACTCTAGACGAGGATAAACCATCATCATGTTCTCTAGGTTCGTCATTAACCTCAGATACATCATCATATAATCTCTTTTTCAAGAAATTAGACTTGCCCATTCTGTATGGAAATATATCCTAAAAATATATTGCATTTATAGATTCTATAATAGTATTGACATGTATATCACTTACTTCGGAATAAAAAACTAGGAATCTATAAGCTGAACTATTAGATGCAAAACCAATAAAAACACAATCTATAGTTTTAGGCCCTAATTTTGTTCTCTTTGGCAATGAGACTTGTACTTTTGCCAGGCAACCCCACACTTTAAACAATTTAAACGTTGGGGGTTCTTCCTTTCCATAATTCATATGGTGACTTCTTTCTTGTTTTAGGTGGAATTCGATTCAAAATTTTATTGGGAGTTTTAACGAAAAGCCCACGGTATTGTTCACTTTAACGAAAAACCACATTTTTACACTAAAAAGTCAATCTTGGTATTATTTACTTTACCCTTTATTTTGTCCTTATCATTAAAACTCAAAGTTTTCAAGCCATTTTCATTGGTTTTCCTAATTTTATTTGCAGTAAGTAAGGCTTCACCCCACAAATTATGTGGAAGCCCAGAGCTATTCAACATGGAGTTGATCATGTCTTTAAAAGTCCTATTTTTCGTTCGGCAACACCATTTTGTTGTGGTGTATATGGGGCTGTTGTTTGATTATATTATCATTTGAGTATCTCACTGATCACGTAAACTGATATATTCCCGATCACACCCAAAACTTCCCCGCTATTATACGTTTAACAAAAGAAAATTCGGAAATAGGTATCCATCTTAAATATTGAGAATGGAGCTATTATTCAAGATGGTATTCATTTTTAGCTATGCAAGGAGAAAATGGGGAAACAACCATAAAGGTAAACATTGCACTAATCTTTTCATTTTTCAAAGAATCAAAGCAGCCAAATTATGCATGTCAGCTGCAAAGGGACAATTTATATATCTCACAGCTTTACATCAAATTTATATCGGCCTGCCGAAAGCCTATCGCCTCAAGGCTTACGCCTCAATGCCTCAAGATTTGTGAGACATCGAACGCCTTGCTTTACGCCTTCACCTCTATGAATACTGGTTGTGAGTCCTGTGATTCCTTGTTACAACTTTCTACGTTTACAAGTAATCTGCTGTATTGTCCTTTCGAATACATCTAAGCTTTCACTTCCGAATAATATAACGAAACAAGCAGTTAATTTCCTTTCCTGGACCCTTCAAGACAAAATAATTTCAGTCGACATACAATTTTGTATACGAGCAAGTATGCAGTGAAACTGTCGCAACTGTCCCTATTGATGTTGCTTGCTCCGAGTGAGGGAGGTAGAAATTGTACAATTTTTCGGTTAGTCATGGATTTTAAAAGGAACGAAAGAGTATGCGCTTGCGGAGCTTCTAGGTTGGTTCCCATCAACAAAGAAGGCTGTAAGAAGGCATGTCTTCAATCCGCAACACATCATCCATTAGCAGCTCCCTCTCCGGTTGAGCTCGCGTCGATTTCAAAACATCCTGCAACACATTCAAATTGAATCAAAACCCTATGAAGTTTGAACTCCAACATATGTAGCCCTGCGTGGTACGTATATGTATAATCTTGGGGAGTATGAATGGTATGCAGATCAAGGATATTCTCACATTGAACTCCATGTATGTAGCATTTCTCTCGAGTCACTGTTTGTCCATAACCATGAACACAACGCAGTACAGCAAGTCGAAGGTCCATTCATTTTCTGCAGTAACATTAGAGAATGACAAGGTCTCTGTTAGGCAACCATCAACCTTTTTGTGGTGCTGTTGTGCAGTAAGATTTAAACTCGGATGTTATCTTACCTAACAACATTTGTAAGGAAACTGTTCTTATGAAAGTCCTGGGTTTTCCTGCCACATAAACAAGCATGAGTTATCTGTCCAAAGCTTGTGCTAGAGAAATTGAAAACCTGTCATTTGAAAAACTGACAACATTTTATATCCTAAGTTCGAAACTTGGAACAAAAGGAGCTCCTTTGACACTTACTGGCTTCAAGGTCAAGCATTTGCATGATCATAAACGTGATGTTGACACCAGCAACAGCGAAAGGATATTCCCAAGCAGCTCGCTTTCCTCTCTGCTTTTTCAATAGACACTGTAAAGATGCCTGCAACAACATAAATAAACATATTTAGACAGCATAAGTTAAAATGGTTGGAACATTAAGTTTATACCAGTGGAGTGCATTAGCCCTCCAATATACATACAAAACACATGCATATCAAGCTCCGTAGTTTTTTGTTATGTTGGGAGAGTATGCGAAACCTATTTCTTGATGTTTCAAACTTTCTAGCTAAGCAAGTAAGAGAATGACAACACAAATTGACAGAAGAAATTAACCCGAAAGTTGCGGAACAATAGACAAATAAATGTAAACAAAACCTGAAATCGGTATACGGATCTCTTCCTTGCCATCCCATCTCTTTCCATCGATCAGATATAAACCATTAAGCTCTTGTCCAGGAAATGTGGCGTACCATAAAGCTCTCAGCGCTTCCTGTCCTCATCAAATTTTCTTAACAACTAAGTTTAAGAAAAAAATACAAACAATTACCAAAGAAAACATTTGACTGTATAATTGAACCTTAACTCATGCCATTTTTAAAGTTGACATTCGTGTCCCATCTGTATCATTTGTCCATGGACATTAAGTTGTAATGCTTAAACTCAAATTTCTGCCTACGTATAAAATGGTCGGGATCATATATATACATCTCGAAATGAAAATTTCACCCGGTGATCCGGCCTAGTAGCATCAAAGTAAACCTATTTGGTAAAAATGACTTCATTTCATACCTCAATAATGTTACACCTTTAGTATATATATACAAGTATGTTAGACCCACTAAGGGAAGCAAATACAACAGACTAACAAACAAACTAACAGATTTCTTAACCACTAAGTAATATCTCTAGATGGTATAGTTACAATATTGCCCTTTATATCCCCTCTCAAATGAAACTGAGGAATTCGAAGTTGAGTTTGTCACAAAGAAACAGAACTTCGTCAC